GGCAGTTTTCTAATTTATTCCAAAATCCTAGCAAAGTCCTAATACCCAAACTTGGCAAATATATATACTCATCCATTTAGAAAAATCTGGTAGATGTATTAGAACTGATGAGCTCCTTATGTGGTAGGATGAAAAATCAAGTTACAGAAGTCAGTCATAGCTTTCCTCAATATTGCAATAACTAAAAAACATAAGGGAAAACCTAAGTGAGAAACTGATCCTTTTCCTGACATGGAAAAGATTATAATAATAACAGCCATCACCAAATTCTAGACGTAACTCATTTAATCCTTGCAGTGGCTCTATGAGGTGGGAACTTCCTTTTAGGTAAGCAAAGGAAGTACAGAGAGGTTAAGCATTTTGTCCAAGGCCACACAGCCAATAGGAGACGGAATCAGGATTTGGCGTCTGGTGGTCTGGATCCAAAATGCATGTCTGTAACCTCTGGAGCGTCGTATGTTGCATAAATACCTGTGAATAAGCCCCGACATGGTACGTGCAAGACTTTTCTGACCCGAAGTCTAAAACTTCATTGAAGGTTTTAAAGGAACACTGTCTACATGGAGCTGCAAACTATGTTTCTGAATTAGCAAACTCACAACTGTAAAGATGCTAGGATAAGGTAAGCTAGGTTGCGGTAAAAAATGAAATCTCCCAAGCCGGAAGCTTATACACAAAATTTTATTATAAACTTTCCATGCAAAATCCATTGTGACTGAGGCTACCCTCTTCCATCCTGCAGTATGCATTTGGAAACTGTGGTCTCCACACTTGCCGTAGCAAGAGAAGAGAGGGCTTGAGAATCACACAGGATGTTTTGGGGGGCTAAGTCTGTAGCAACATACCACATCAGCACAGATATCATTATTCAGAATCCCATCACGTGGGATCCCACCACTGCAAGGGAAGCTTGGATGCAGAGTCTACGGTGCATATCCAGGAGGAGGACCCAGTGTGGTGAATAGAAGACATCTTCTCTGCCATGGTTGGTGGCAGTGCCCAGCACATAGTTGACTCTCAATATATATACTGAGAGTTAAGATAGATAGATAGATAGATAGATAGATAGATAGATAGATAGATAGATAGATAGATACACATCTTAAAGGAAAAAAACATATTTAAATCTTCCCCAAAATTGGTCTACCAATTTAATGCAATACCACCCAAACTCCACTCAGGTTTTATATGGAATTTGACAAGTCAACTCCAAAATTCATTTGAAGGGAAAAATAGTTAAGAACAGTGAGGAGGTTTTGAGATAGAAAATCAGTCTTTACGATGGGGAAGAAACTTACTTTACTATATGCAAACCGTGCTATAAAGCTACAGTAATTCAAGTAGTATAGAATTATTGCAGGAATATACAGACAACTAAGTAGGAAAAATTCCAACCATGTATCCATGGTATACATAGTGACTTAGTATATGACAAAATAACATTTTACATTAGCTAATGAACTGGATGGACCCTTCAAGTAATGGTTACTCATTTTAAAAATAATTAAGTTAAAATAACCACTCCCACCATGGACAAAATTAAATACATACAAATTAAACAACCAAAGATGAAAAAAAAAACCTATATATAACTAGAATAATATACAGAAATATGTTTTATCATCTTGTGATTTCCTAAGCATTGCATCAAATTCAGCAGCAATAAAGGACCAGATTAGAGAGGTTATAAGATATCAAAAGTAAGATTAAAATACAAGTACAGACTAGAAGAAAATTTCAATATATATGGCAGGTGAAGGATAACTATCCAGAAAATATGCAAAGCATATACAAGCCAATAAGGAAAATGACAAGTATCACGATAGAAAAAAATTGTCAAAGCACATGGATGGACAATCTATAGAAAAAGAAATACATATGGCTGTGACCTGAAAAGACAGTGAACCTCAGCAGTAATCAGGGAAATGCAAATAAAAAAAAAATGAGTTGGGGCACCTGGGTGGTTCAGTTGGTTGAGCGTCCAGCTCTTAATTTCAGCTCAGTTGTGATCTCAGGGTCCTGGGAGTGAGCCCCACATCTGGCTCTGAACTCAGTGTGGAGTCTACTTGGGATCCTCTCTTTCCCTCTCCCTCTGCCCCTCCCCCACCTCAAATAAATAAATAACATCTTTTTCAAATGAGTTATTTTTTCCCATCTGAGGTTGGCAATAATGAATATGAAAGATATGGGGAAATGGGCTCTCTCATTCATCAGTGATAAGACTGTAAACTGGTAGAGCCTCTATAGATAGCCATTTAGTAGATCTACCAAAATTTTTCAATTCATGAACCACTGACCCCTCAATCCCTCTTCTAAGATTTTTTTTTTATAGAAACACATACATGTACACAATGATATATGTTCAAAGATCTTCATTATGACACCATTTGCAATAATAAACAGCTTATAAACAACCAAAATCCCCATCAGTAAAGATCAGCTAAAAGCATTATGGTACATTTATACTGTGCAATGCCAAATAACCATAAGAAAGATGGATGTATATGAATACTGATTGGAAGAGATCTCTAAGAAATAGTATTAGGTACAAATGCATATTTTATAACAATGTATGGTGTACTTACGAGTTTATTATGAAAATGTATATGTGTATAATATAATTTTTATTATATACATGACATTGTACTTCTAAATGCATTGAAAAAAGCCTAGAAGAATATATAATAGTTAACCATGACGACTGCTGAAATAGGAAGTAAGAATATATGTGGAGGGGGCGCCTGGATGGCTCAGATGGTTAAGCGTCTGCCTTTGGCTCAGGTCGTGATCCCAGAGTCCTGGGATTGAGTCCCACATTGGGCTCCCTGCTTGGCGGGGAGCCTGCTTCTCCCTTTCCTTCTACTGCTCCCCCTGCTTGTGCTCTCTCGCTTTCTGTGTCAAATAAATAAATAAAATATTTTAAAAAAAAGAATATATGTGGAGTGGAAAGGAACAACTTCCATATTTCACTCTATAGACTTTGATAATGTTTAATCATTTACAACAAAAATAGGTATTCACAGGCACACACACACGTGTGTGTGTGTGTGTGTGTGTGTGTGTGTAGAGAGAGAGAGAAAGCTCTACTACAGTAAACCATTTCTCATACTTGCTGGGAGACTCCTAGGATAAATGGGTGGAACTAGACTTTATTAAGAACGTACCATATACTCTGCCCATTCATACAACTCATATCATGTGTACTGCAACTTTATCAAGGGAGAGTTTAATTACATTTAACAAATGCAAAAAGAAGTGGGGGATAGACTTGATGAAGTACCCAGGACAGGCCTTCTTCCAAGAACTTTCCATTGCACTTGGGCAGGAGCATATAAGCATGCTAAAGACAATTGGTGCATCTGTGCAACACAGTGGAAGTGAGAGGGGCACAGGGAAGAGTGACAACTTGCTTAATGTCTGAGATGTCCCTAGCTTTTCACGAGAGTGTTCTTGGGTCAGGTTTTCAGCTCTGCCTCTTTACTTCCTGCCTTCAGTTGGCTTCCATGTCTCTGATATCAGCTACTGGTTCCTTCAACCCAGGAATATTTCCATCCCGACCATCTCACAGAGCCTCTCCCTTCTTCCATATGAGTACCTGAGTATCTCTGCAGTCAAATTCAACAGATGTTTCACTCCACCTCCTTGAGAAAAGGCAAATAAGAGACTGCCTGCTTTCTACTGTCTCCGACTGGCACAGCCCAACCAGGGTCATGTTATGCAAATAGAAGCAACTGGATTTGGAGAAGAGTAGAAAAGAGTGCCTTTGTTGCTAAACAGACCTGAATTTGAAAGCCACTTTGCCACTCACTCACGTTGCGACATGCTTTATACTTCCTGGCTCCTCATTCTGATTCTGGGTAAAGCAAGAATGGTATTACTTCTTTTCATGGTTAGAAAATAAATATACAAAGTACCCATGGAAAGTATATGCTCAATATATAGAAACACCGCCCTTGCCACCATTACTGTAATTATTTTTTGAACTACCTTGCAGTTCTTGTTTTTGTAGCCAATGTATTATAGGACCTTGTAGCTGCCTACTGAATTAAGATAGGATAGGAGTTTCTACCCCATTTTACAGATGAGGAAACTGAAGATCAAATAAATTAAATGGCTTGCTGGGGTTCACCTAGGTCCAAAGGAGCAAAGATGACATTTATTCATGTTTTTCCAGCTGAGCAGCCTATTCTCTTGTGTGTCTTATCTATCATGTGTACCCTATTCCCAGTGCCTAGCAAAGGATCATGAACATGTAGACCCTAAAAGAATTCTAGTTTCTGGATTGATTTTTTGGGTGCCGAGACCTCTGTTTCCTTCCCCATGCCTAAGAGATACCTTTTTCACTGCGAAGATCTCCAAATTGCAAATATTATTTCAACACCTTGTTCAGATGCCTGTTTGGTCCGTAGAGGAGGACCTGTTTGGTCTCTGCCTCAGAGGTATGTTAAGGGCCCTTCTGCTCTTACAACTGGGTAGTTAGAGGCCGACAGAGGCTGCTAACATTGCTAATTGAGCAGAAGCAATGGCTGCAGCTCTGTGAGCTGTCCGTGGTCCTGGAAGGATCACCTCTGAGTTCCAAGGGCAATAACAACCTTGTTTTTGCTACAGTCTTCAACCTTGGTCAACAGATACACTGGGAATAGATTCTGGTTTGAGAAACTAGTTGATAATTCACTGTGAATTGGTCTGTCATGCTTTTCAAAGTCGGTGTGTTCATGGAAAACAGTTTTTAAATTTGCTTTGTGCGTAGATGTGCACTCTGGTTTCCCCCTCGACTCCTCCAAAATGTCACAAATGACTTTCCCTGAATTTACTAATTTGCAGGATTTAATGTGCTTCTCTCTAGACACCTGTGCCCTAGATAGATTCCAGCCAGAATAGCTGTCTCCATTCCTAAACTCTGACCTGTTTTGCAGGCAAAGGAGGCCTTGGTTTTGGGTCACCCACAGTGGGGGCATCCAACATGCGGAGCTAACTCTCGGCTCTGTTTTATCATGCAGTTGTGTGGAGGAGTACAAGCTGGCTCCTGATGGAAAATCCTGCCTAATGCTCTCAGATGTCTGCGAGGGCCCCAAATGCCTCAAACCTGACTCCAAATTCAACGACACCCTCTTTGGAGAGATGCTACATGGTTACAACAACCGGACCCAGCATGTGAACCAAGGCCAAGTCTTCCAGATGACCTTTAGGTATGGGGCAGACACTTGCACTTCACTGGTCAAATCACTGACCCAAAATCTGGGCAGGGGGAGGAAGCCATGGGCACCATGGAGTTGAGTTCTTTTAGACTGGCCAGCATGTCCCCAGGCTTACTGATGCCTATCCAAAGAAGTGTTAGAAGTCAGAAAATTCATTCCATGAGGTTCCTTTTCCACTGACCTAGTCCTTATTTATAGCGCTCTTCCCTTTTTCTAACTCTATCCACATTTTTTATTTTATTTTATTTATTTATTTATTTATTTATTTATTTATTTATTTATTTATTTATTAAAGATTTTATTTATTTATTTGACAGAGAGAGAGATTGCGAGAGCAGGAACACAAGCAGGGGGAGTGGGAGAGGGAGAAGCAGGCTTCTTGCCGAGCAGGGAGCCCGATGTGGGACTCGATCCCAGGACCCTGGGATCATGACCTGAGCCGAAGGCAAACACTTAATGACTGAGCCACCCAGGTGCCCCTTCTATCCACATTTTTTAAAAATCAGTCTTAAATCATCATGTAAGTACAGTTAATGGAATTTTAAAATGTTTAAATTAATCTTTCAGTCTATTAAAAAATAAGTATCCTATGTAGGCTATTCAGGCAGTTCAAAAATAAAGACATTTAATGAAGTAGAAAATAAAATCCCTATCACCCAGAAATACCCAGAATTAACATTTTCTTGAACATTCTTAAAACACCTCTCTCTCCCTGTCTATTTGCATGCGTGCGCGCACACACACACACACACACCACACACACACTCATGCCACATCTCAGTAAAGCTGTTTAGAAATTGCTGTTTTTTGCTCAACTGTATGTCAAAGACTTCATTCACTGTTAATAAATATAGAGTGTCTGCGAAATTAAAAGATAAGGCTACTCTCATATGAGAGCAAACAGAATGGGGACTGGGTTGGCCAAATTATATGAAGATTAGACGTGCAGCCTCATTACAAAAGGCCCCCTGGGAAAGTCAAAGAAGCTGGATTTATTCATGCTTCAAAATCTGAAGAACCGTAAGATGGTAGAGTGGGAAGAATTGTTCCCTGTATAAGAAATGACCATCTTTAAAAAAAATAAACTATACTTTTAGACAGTTTCGCATGAAAATGTAATAGGATATTATCACAAAGCAGGGTGCACCCCAGCATTTGAGGTCATCTCAACAAATTCAGAACTGCAAAGGAATATCGCCATTCTAATCATCATCATCCCCATTCTATCACCTAATTAATAATAGTGGTGTTTATAATAGGAGTGGTAATAATGACCAGTATTTATTAAGATTTACTCCATGTCAGACTCTTTACCAAGTATTTTTAGTAATAATAATAATGATGATGATGATGATGATGACATTAATTCAGCACAAGCTGAGGGCATTCTAAGCACTTGCCGTCTACTAATTTGTGTGATCCTCACAATAGTCCTGGGAAGCACAAGCTGTTGTCATCCCCTGTATACAGATGAGAAATGGAAATGTGAAGTGACTCTCCCAAATCTCCCTTCTAGGAAGTGAGAGAGCCAGTGTAATAGCATTTTATTTTCATTATTAAAACCCTTAGAGGCACCGTGGCCTCTGTTTTACAGCTGAGAAGTCAACATCAGAGGTAAAGTGACTTTCCCAAGGTCACCATCCAGTGAAAGGCCGAGTAAAGAATCAGGTGTAAATCTGGCTGATTCCCAAGCCTTGCTCTTGTCTCTTAAGCCAGCATACCTCATTAATTCCCATTTCATAGAACAAGAATGGAAATGTGAATTCCCTGAAACCATTCACCTATGTAGTTACCACATGCTGCTTGAGCACCGACTGTGTCCCAGGTACCATGCTGGTTACCTGAGATACAATGAAAACTGAGATAAAAGTGCCCCAAGAATCTGGTGCTTAAGTGTAGTGTGTGTGTGTGTAAACTTATGTACTTATTTAATTTGTGGTAGGAACTATGCAATAAAGGAACACTGTTGTTCCAAGATAGCAATTAACAGTGGGATCTAATTCAGTTGGAGCAGAGTAGTAGGTGCACATCTACTGGATTAGAAAGCAATAATAAGACTTTGGAGTCAGCTTTTCAGATGAAGTGTCATTTAACTAATACCTGGAAGATGAGTGGAACCTCACACTGGGAAAGGTGTCAAGCAGAAACAGATGTTCTAAGAAGAAAAAGGACGTGTTCAGCTTTAAGAAATGCAGAAGTCTGCTGTGGTTTTGGCTGAGCAAGTAAGGGAAGAGTGGTGGGACGTGAAGCCAGAATGGTCCGTAGTGGCAGGTCATGGGGGTCTTGCAGGTCAAGTCTTTATTCTAGGAGCAAACGGGAGAACTGAAAACGGTTGAAGAAGTGGAGTATGCCGTGGTTGCATTGCATTTTTCAACCCCATGGTGGCTGCAATGGGAAGTAGATGGCAATGAGGGTGGCCTGGGAAGGTGTGGAATGGGGGCACAGTTGGGTACGTGAAAGTGGCTTCAGTCAGGATGATGGGAACAGTTTGGAGAGAAAGGGGGATTTTGTATCATGTAGTCGCGAGGCATGGCTCACAAGGCCAGTGAGCATGGTAGGCAGAGGGTAAGGTCGAGGGAGGATTTGAAGGTAATAGGAGTGACTGGTAGCTACACAGCAATTTAGTAGCAGAGTTGAGTCCTTCAAATCCCAGTGGAGTTTCCTTTCTACCACACAGATGCTTAAACAGCAGCTGAGTGCTACTTTATTGGAAAAATCTGGGAGAAACTTAAGGATAATCCTGATGAACTACTCAATACTGAGAACCACAATGCTGACTTTCTGTAGTTTTCATGCTCTATGAAACTCTGTCTTGAGCATCATGATGGATAAAATAATGCTGTGTGGAATCCAAAAGAAAAAAAATAAAATGTCCCTTGTTTTTGAGAGGGGAATTTATAGGCTTGCACAATGACACACACAATTGACAAAAATATGAAAATTTAATTTGCCAAGTGGTGTTCCAGTAGTTTTCAAAGAATTTCTATGTGAAGCCTTTTGAGAAGAATTAGAAGGAATGATAAGGAGTTTCTAAAGGATGAGGCTTGTGGACTGGAGTTTGAAGTGATAGCAAAGAACAGTATCTCTTGGGAGGGATAAGTGCTGGAAGGGCATTTTCTTGTCCAGGAAGGAGTTTGTAGAAGCCTAGACACAGATAAGCAGGAGTGGGGAGTCAGTAGAACAGGTCTCCAACTAGACCTGCTCCAAATCTGGCCCCACCCATGACAAGCATAGTCCTACTGCCTCCTGTTTATTTATTTTTTTAAAAAAGATTTTATTTATTTGAGAGCAAGAGAGAGAATGTGAGCAGGGGCAGAGGGAGAGGGAGAAGCAGACTTCCTGCTGAGCAGGGAGCCCGACATGGGGCTCAGTCCCAGGACCCTGGGATCATGACCTGAGCCAAAGGCAGATGCTTAACCAACTGAGCCACCCAGGCACCCCATATTGCCTTCTGTTTAAAAAGAAGTGTTTTATCAGATTCTGGCCACTGTGATGGGCACATTGCATGTTTTATGTAGTTTGATTTCTCACAGCAGCTCTCAGACTGGTTGGCATGTGATAAGTGATCAGATGTACTCGTAGTTCTCATTCTCTCATGTGAAGATAAGCTTGGTCCAAAAGAAGGATCCAAAGTGGGTAGTAAGATGCTAGATCCTGAAGGAGATTCATGGGATCCCTGATCTCACTTACATTGGGGAAGGGACTTGGCCAAGGTCACAAAACAAGTCATTGCAGAGCTAGCTATACCCTCAGATCAGATCCCTGCATGCTTACCTGTCTACTCCCAACAAAACTGGTCATTAAGAGACAGCATGGTGCCAGAAAGTCTGGCCTGGGGTCCCCAGGCTCAGGCAGAGTTTTAGCCCCATCAGGAATCTTTATTCTGCCTCAAACACTCTGCTCATTGTTCCCAACCCTTCAATCTTGTGTTGTTTCTAAATAGCCAGGGTCTCTGCCTGCCCTGATTTGCTCATTGTAAAGAGTATAGTGAACAGACCACACTTTCTCTTTTGACAACAGCCTCAAGATTTAGGGAACTCCTCAGACTACCATTGTGTTTGAGTAGCCCATTTCACATAAGCTCTCTTATCCTTGGCTTCAATTAAACTTTCTTTACAATTATTTCCATCCTTAGACCATGTCACCTCCTGGAGCCACATGCTAAGGCAGTTGACTTCCCATGGTGGGAAGGTGAGTGGCTTCTGATGAATCTAAATTTATCTCTTTCAAGTCTCCCTCACTGAGCCTCAGACTGGGAGGAGGCTGCCGTTCCTTTGTCCTCCAAGTTCCAGAAGGCAGGCCTGCAAATGTTTCAGTTTCAAAGGCAGTTGTCATTTCTCGCTTCTTCTCCATTCCTTTTCTCTCTCTCCTCCAAGTAATCTTTGGTCCAGCCCTCCAGAGTAGTCAGCAGGCACCCCACCAGCCATCCTGCCATATGCCACATTTCCTGACAACTGCCTGGCCTGGGATTTCAAATTGTCTACCAGATAGAGTCTCCTGCATGACAGCCACCACTCTGCTGTGTTCTCCTCCCTGCCCCTACCTCGATCCTCCCACCTAGCAACTGCGGAGAGAAGATAGGCGTGCATTCTCATTTCCTCTCTCCAGTCTCCAAAAGAGCAACCTGGATTTCTGCTCTACTAAAGGCCTCTCATTTCAAGTATCTAAACTGGACTAACACTTAACAATTAGTGCAGACATAACCCCTTATTGTACACATGGAGAAACTTAGACCCAAAGAAGGGTATAACTTATCCCGTGCTCACCAGGATCGGGGACCCCTCTGAGACTCAAAGTTAGAGTCTGTGACTCTCAAACTTGTGTTCTCTGGTTTCTGGTTCTGTTGTAAGGGATGTGTAATACTTCTTCATCTCCCTTTAATAGCACGTGGTCAGCAGAGAGGGAGGATGCAGGTGCCATAGGGGGATGGCAGATTCTTAATTAAGGGGGGAACTTAGGCAAGAGCTACCCCCGAGTACATGATTCTGCAG